AGGATAGCTTAACTTCACATATGTATTTGATAGTGATTGAGAAATTTTGAACTAGGGTTTTAAGAATTATGAATCTGTTTACAATGGTATGACTCAAGTGGCTTCCTGTAGAATGTTCTTTAATACAGCCACAATTTGCTGGAACTGATAAAATATTTTATTGCTTCATATTTCAGACACCCAAGATAAATTATTGTTGACTTGATCTAAAAACAGAGAAGCAGAAGGAGAACAGGATTTACGAATGGAATTTTTTTCCACTTTCCCATTTTATAGATAACTCATCTGACAGAGAGTTGTAATCACAATGTTCTCATCAAGATCTCTTATCATTATTTATGTAGCTGACTAACTCAAAGTTACCTCCATATAGAAACAGCTGAAATGTAATACAGAGCTGTGATTAATTTTTCACACAGTCGAGCATAATTCTGATCGAGTTCCATGTGGTTATGATACACGGGTCTAAGCCAGAATGTCCCAGTCAGCTCTAGAATGTGTTATTCTGTCCAGTCAGTAACCTGGATTGACTTTTTAGATGAGTAGAGGTGGAAACTGAATCAGAGACTATTTGCTGGCTTCCTTCTTTTTACTGTCTGGGCTTCAGTTGAAGTCTAGCCCAGTCTGATGGATTACTTTGAATTCAAGCACAGAATTAGGCCATTCATAGGAACAGGAGTAGGCCATTCAGCCCCTCGAGCCTGTTCTGACATTCAGTAGGATCATTGCTGATCTATGACCTAACTCCATAGACCTGCCTTTGGCCCATATTCCTTACTATTTCTGCCTAACAATGATGTATTGATTTCAGATTTAAAATTGACAACTGATCTAGCATTCACTGCCAGTTGTGAAAGAGAGTCCAAACTTCTACCACCTTTTGTGTGTAGAAGTGCTTCCTAACATTTCTCCTAAATGGTCTGACTCTAACTCTCAAATTATGCCCCTCATTCTAGAACTCCCAACCAGTGGAAATACTTTATCTTTATTTAGCCATTATTTTCCTGTTAATATCTTGAACTTAATAAAACTGGTTTCTGCCAACTTTATTCCCCCACTTAGACCTCCTCCTGTCTCACTCTGTCTACCTAATTCCTTTCTAGTTTGTCTAGTTTCCCTGAAGCACATTTATTTATGCTGTTTGTCTTCAATGCTCCATGTGGTAGCAAGTTCCACATTCTAAACTTTCTCAGGGTTAGAAAACAAAAGAACAGAAGAAATAAGGACAAAGGAACTAGGAGAGGGAGTAGGCCTGCTCCACTATTTAATAAGATCCTGGTTTATCTTCTACCTTAATGCCATTTTCCTGTACAATCTGATATCCCTTTTTAATATGTATAAATCTATCAATCCTTGTCCTTAATATACTCAATGACTGAGCCTCCATGGTCCTCTGTTGTAGAGAATTCTAAAAATTCACCACCATCTGAGAGGAGATATTCCACCTCATCTCAATTCTAAATGGTCTGTCTCTATTCTGAGACTCTGTTGTCTGATTCTAAACTGACCCTGACACCCCCAGACAGGGGAAACACACATTCTAAATCTACCCCTATCGAGCCCTGTTAGAAATTTGTTTGCTTCAGCAAGATCACTTCTCATTCTTCTCAACGTAGAGAATAAAGGCACAGTCTATTTAATCCTTCCTCAAACGATGATCCCTTCCTCTCAGGAATTAAGCTGGTGAACATCTGCTGTATTCTCCCCACGGTGAATATATCTTTCTGAAGGTAAGGAGACCATAGCTGCACTCAAACCAGAGCAACAGGAGGCCATTTGGCCCTTCAAGCCTATCTCACAATTCAACAAGGTCACAGCTGATCTTTCTATCTCATCTATACCTTCTCTGACTATCCACAAATCTTTAAATCCCTTCACATCTCAAACTCTATTGATTTCTGCCTTGACAGAGCCTTCTGTTGTAGGAAATTTCAGAATTTCACAAGCTTTTGAAGATATTTCTCCTCGCCTCTGCACCACCTGTCTCCTGAATTCCATTTCAGATTTATTAGTATCTTGTACTGATGCACCATCATTGTGGTCTCCCTCCAACAAGGGGAAATATCTTGTCTGCGTCTATCAGATCAAACCCTGTAAGAATTTTAAAGGCTTTTGAGTCAGGTCTCAGGCTCCTCTTTTATTGAGGGATTGAAACATTTTTGTTCCCTGTCAACTTAATGAAAACAAGCGTGCATAACACTTCATTTAATTCTCCTTGTGAGCACAGGTCCACAGTGTGAAACTACCCTATCATTCAGGACAAATTGGCACTGAGCCAGCCATGCACCTCATAAAGAATGCTCACGTTGGAAGTGTAAAATTCACACTGGCACTGCATGGGGTGTGCTGCTGGGGTGTGTTGCTAGGAATGCACTGAGGGAAAATTGTTTGGTGCCTGACCTGTGCAGTACCTGACTGTGGGACGCTTTGATGCTGGTGTTGGGTGCCAAGTGTAGAAAGATGTTGAATTCCACAGCCCTGATTCCTCATACCTTGTCGGACAGAACTTGTTGCCTTCCACTCTCCCCCACAACAGACATTACAGAAATATGAAACAGGGAGGAGGTTTCAGTTCATGCTGTTTGCAGAACATTGTCCTGATGCAGCAAATATGACGTGCTGATTGCGTAGAAAATAATGCATTCCAAACCAACACTGTCACTCAAGTCAGAAACAGAAGTTGTTTTGTTTTCCACTCGAAAAGAGTTAATTCCTTGAACCAAGCAATACACTCCTGCCTGCTGATCTCTGTGAATAAACAATTGCCTTCAGTAGCCATCTGAATCAAGTGAAGCATAAAGTTTGGAAAGGACTGATTGGGTTTTAATTCCTCATTTGTGTATTTTCCGTATGTCTGATTGAGGCTCGGCTCACTGTGAGAGAACATTTCCTGATACGATGTCATCCCTCAATTATAAGCTACAAACGTTGGTGGTTATAACACAAGTGAAGCAGGAATGGAATTGTACAGTCCGCTCTCACATCAAAGTTGCTTGAATCAAAATATTTAATAATATTTTAATACAGCATTTACAGATTGACATATTGTTTTCATTGGTTTATTCTAAAGTTTGGGTGATTCAAAATGTTTAAGCATCTACATAAATAAACAACTTTAAGTTGTCAGAGTAGGCTGTAGAGTGGAAGGAATTATTTTACAAACAGTGGTGTAGGATGGAGATACCAAGATGTAGAGCTGGATGAACACAGCAGGCCAAGCAGCATCAGAGGAGCAGGAAGGCTGATGTTTCAGGCCTAGACCCTTCTTCAGAAAATGGATACTGGATTTACAGTGAGAAATATAATTGGCTGTTTATTAAACCATACTATTTCTTTGTAATACCGTTACTTTGTGCAATGGTCAATGGAGGTGATGATCCAGTGAGGGTGATGATCCAGTGGAGGAGTTAATCCAGTGGGAGTGATAATCCAGTCGAATTAATCTGGTAGAGGTACAAATCTAGGAGATGAGTTAATCCATTTGAGATGTTATTCTCAGCAGATTATCTGATCTGTCAGAAATGCTAATCCAGTTAGTAAAATATTCCAGTGGAGATCCTTATCCAGTTATGCAGTTAATCCAGTGATTCTGGTAATCTATTGAATGACTTAATCCAGTAGAGAGGCGAATCCAGTGGAGGTGTGAATCCAGTTGTCAAATTAATCCAGTGGACATGTGGACCCAGTGGAGGTGTGAATCCAGTGGGGATCCTGATCCAGTGGATAAATTGAATGCTAGTCCAGTAGAGATGTTGCCCTATTCAAAGTGCGGGTCAATGCGTGAGGCAGAGAAGTTGTACAAACGAATTAAACTGAACCCATTTCCCAGCCAGTTTGGAATAGTATCTATCAGGAGGAGACCAGTGGAGGTGTATTTGTATCTGCGCTAATAAAGATAATCGCTGGGAATGTCGATGACCCGGTGTCCAGCTACAGCTGGTCTCCAGTAACCCAGTGTCGGAAATACATAGCAGATTGTGAGAGCGGAGGGAGGGGGGAGCACAATTTCAACATTTATTGTTCAAAGAACCTAAACTGCCTCTGCTCAGCGACCATTGAATGGGATTTCCATAAATATGGAGCACAAATTTGGAGTTTTAATCTATAACATTAACACATTAATTAACACAAACATTGAAAGGCATTCACTGATAAAGCGCTTTGGAAACGGGCTGGAGACGGGCTGGGAGAGTCCCCAGGCTCCACATTGACAGCGCGCCCGAATTTCGGAGACAGAAAATTGCTGGGATCCCGTGCGGAGTATATTTTTGACCGGATTTTTCATTCATGCAGGCAGAAAAAGAAATCCATGCGTTTTCATGGGAACAAGGAGATTTGTGAATGCTGGGGACCCAAGTGTGTGTGTGTTCGTGGCTATGAACCCACTGTCAAAACCCTTAGGCAAAAGGGAGGGTTCACATTAAACTTGTCTTCCTCTGCACGTGTTGAAGTTTTGGACTGTGTGCAATTCGGTGCGGCTTGTTTTTTTTTTGATATGAATATCACAACAGTTACGTTCATATATCAGACTGTATGCATTTCACAGACGAGGTGGTATGGGGAAAGTGGGGCGGGGGTTACTGTAGACAGTCCCTCCCTCTGCCCACAGAGTGAAAACTGGGTGGATTTTTTTTTGGAGGTGTTTAGGGGAGGGGGGCGGGTGGTAAGAGGAGAAAGTGAGGGTTAACAGGAGCCTGGATCCACCCCAGCCCACGGGGAGGGAGGCTGCAGCAGCGAAAAGCCTCGGGTCTGTGGAGGGCAGACGGATTATGTAACTTTTCCTGAAAGAATGAATGAGCTGCATTTCCTTTCTTCTCCCCCCCCCCCCCCCCCCCCCCCCCACCACACCTCCAACCCCCTTCACCAGTGACTTCCCAAGCGTGATTGACGACAACCTCCCCTCAGTCTATATAAACACCATGCCGGGGGAGCGTTCCGCCAGTTCACGCTGCTCAACACAGCAGACATCCCAGCATAGTCCGGATTGCTAACCTCCCCATCACTTCATCACCCCCCCCCCCCCCCCCCTTCCATTCTTCTCTCCACCACCAATAACTGTACTACAATCAAAAAGAGAGAGAGGACAAAGTTGCTGCTTCCTCGGGAACTCCGAACGCCAGGTGAGACTATATTTGTTTGCAATATATATATATCTATCTTAAATATATATATATTAAATATATATATATCAAAGCAACCTCATTTTTTAAAAATGACTTTGTTTCCAAAAAGTTACATGCGACCTTTGTGTTTTGCAATTCTCTTCTGTGCGAAATTGACTCGAATTCACAGTTGCAAAACGCGAAATGATGCAGATTTTTATTTTCATATCTATGGCTGCATTAAATGTTGGTATTCATTTTAAACAGGCAGTCCTGTGGGAAGTTGTGAAGGGGGTTTGGGGGACGGCTGCTGGCCGCTCGAATCGCTTCCTATCGCGGGTTGAGATAGCTTTCTGAAGGTCCTCTGTCCTCTTCCTTCCCAGGACTGATGTTACTGAGGAATGGGATGCAGTGGTTACTATCTGTCCTCCTGGCGCTCGGAGTCAGGAGCCAGTCTCTCGGTAAGTGTCCTTGCTCCTCCTGAGCCAACTGCCTCCACTTACATTGTTGCTGTGTCTTACTGATGTCTTCTTTTTCCTTCCTCCTCCTGCTCCCCCGGTCTGTCCCCTAGATGTTCCTCGGGATGAGGAAGCTGTCTTTGACCTGTTCGCCATCATCAATGTGAACAAAGACACTCCGGGAGTCAAGCTGTACCGAGGTCCCGATCCCAGCAAGCCGTCTTTCCGCTTCTTCCGGTTCGACAAGATCCCGCCTGTCTCTGGCGACCAGCTGCAGGCAGTGGTCCGCCTCATGAACTACCATGAGGGCTTCATTCTGAGGGCCAGCGTGAGGCAGGACAGGAGGAACCGGGGCACACTGCTGCTCATCCTGGGACCCGGCTACAAACGCCAGCTAGAGGTTGTCTCCAACGGCCTGGACAACACCCTGGACTTGCAGTACTCGGTGGGGAACTCCCAGAGCCTGGTCTCCTTCCAGGATGTGGACATTGCTGACTCCCAATGGAAAAACATCACTGTCCACGTGAATGGGGAGAATGCTTACCTGTATGTGGACTGTGAGCTGGTAGACAGCTTCATCCTAGATGACCCCTTTTACGAGCAACTTAGTGCGACCAACAGCAAACTCTATGTGGCTAAAGGACTAAACCCAGGCAAGAACTTCAAGGTATGTGTTCTACCTCCCTTTCTGACACCCTAACACTGGCAGAGCTGCAGATATCTCCAGAAATTAGACTCTTCAGCACAAGTATGGTGTAATTAAGAGTTTTCAGTCATTCCTAACATTTTGCTGTCCGAAATGATACTCCTGTACAAGTAATGGATTTGCTTTTTTCAACATCTCAGTCTAATCGCTATAAATTAATGGTGTTTCTGTTCTGTCTCCAGGGCTACTTGCAGAACGTACAGCTAATATTCGGCTCTTCAATGGTGGATATTCTCCAGAGTAGCGGTTGTCTTCAGATAGGTAAGGTTTGACTTCTGAGCTACAGCTGTGTGTTGGAGTTGGCTCTGAATTGTTTCCCAGCTTTTGAGTCTCACTCTGATTTGAAACGCAGCAGTGGGAACCACGAGACTCCAAAGGGGCTTGACAGGTTGGGCACTGAGAGGGTCCCCAACCCTGGCTGAAGAATGTAGACCACAGGCAAAGCCTCAGGGTAAGAGGACGGTTATTGACGCTCAAGAGGGTTGTGCAGCTCTGGAATCCTCTAGCCCACCAGGCTGTGGACGCTCCAGTGCTGAATGCACTTAAGACGGCGAGAGGCAGATTTTTTTATGTTCTCAAGTAATTGATGGAGTGAGCGGGAAAGGGGAGTGCAGGATCAGCTGTGATGAATGGGGGAGCAGGCTCATTAGGCCAAGTGGTTTACACCATCCCTGTTTCTTATAAGGCATATTCAAAATGGAATTGTTCCCTATTCCCCATTAATCAGAGGTTATGCCTTGCTGCGTTTATGGTGCTTGATGCGAGGGTGTAACTGGAAGCATTAGCTGCCATTGGCTGATTGAGTGGAGTTTTTTACCTTGGCTACACTCAGAAAGCTGACAGCTCCTGTCAGATAACACCAATAGTTTCCCGTTTTGTTCCATTTCAGAAACAAGCAGATTTGGAGAATGCTTTCAATGTTGGGTGTTATTTATGGGAAGTGTTGTCGAAGAAGAGAGGGAACTGCTGTCTCCAGCTTAGAATGTATGTCTATTATCAAAGGAGTGGCTTGTTTCAAAGACATGTTTCATATATGTTTCCTTTGATGAACTGGTGCTTTCATTGGAATAGTATTTAATAAAAAAATGTGGATTGCTTATATCTCAAATGTTAGTAGTTATGCCAAAATATTCATTGTTAATGGCAGAATATAGAAGGGTATTGCAGTCCAAAAAAGTCCCATGTATTAAATGTAGAGGACAGCTTAGAATGGTTTACCTTGTCACAATAGCTTTATTTCAACATCAGTAAAATAAATATTTTCAGACAGAGATAGTGAGATAGTAAAGACTGATAATGGAAGAGAAAATGACATGAAGGTAGGAGATATATTGTTTTTCAGTTACCTTGGCTCATTTCGATCTTTGTAGAGGAAGTAGCTTGAACATCGATCAGCTACCTGCCCTTACAATGAGGAACTCTGTCATCATTCTCCTAACTGGCTCAGGATTTAGACCATGTATTATTTGTTTTCCAAACTGGTTTAACCATTCCTTGCACTAGGTGGCAGACAACTCCAGAAAGGCAAAGCAACAGGCTGCAGATGTTGGAAGTCTGATGTTGGAACAGCTCCACATCCGTGGCGAGGGCAGCTGGTGTTAGCATTTCAGATCCATTTCTGCGACTGGAATCCTTGACCGTCTGCTGCTCACTCCGCTGATGCTGCCTGGCTTGCTGAGTGTTTCCAACATTCTTGATGCTGAGAGTTAAACTTTATGAATAGCTTAAGCCTTTACTAGTTCCTGTGTCCAATGGCTCTTTTTAGGTGGATATCATTTCAAAACCTTGTACCGTGTTCCTCCTCAGGGAAAGAGGAGCCTTTTGCTTTTCCCAGTGTGCACAAACCTAGCTCCCTTTATTCAGAGACTCACACACTTATCATTAAAACACCGGACATCTCTAGAGTCATATGGTTGTTACACTGTTGCTTTTTAGAACAATGTCACCAGTTGCTGTATCTGTGTTGGTATTTGTTGCATTTCTGCCAAATTATTACAAGTAAGGGACCAGACCGTAAAATGACAAATTAGGGAGATCCGAGTCACTAGAAACACCAGCTACCTCCAGATATCCTCAAGTTTTTAAAATGTATTTTTATCTTTCTTGTGAAACCATTATGACAGCTGACACACAGCACCAGGGAGCTGCGTTCACTCCTAGCATTGCATGACTGTATGTGTGGAGTTTGTATGTTCTCATTGTGTCTGTGTGGGTTTCCTCCTACAGTCCACAAAGATGCGTGGGTTAGGTGGGTTGGCCATGTTAAATCGTCCTGTAGTGTGCAAGCTAATTGGATTAACCATGGGGATTAGGTGGGGGAAGGCTATTTGGACGACTGGTGCAGACACAGTGGGCTGAATGGCCTTACTCTGCACTGTGGAGATTCTATGAATCTGTTTTATACCCAAAAAATATCAAACTGAGCCGGCAACACAGGGAGAGAGATAGGGAGACACAGAAACTGAGTTAATGTTTCAGATGGGTCACCTGTTTCCAGAGCACTGGATCATGGCTTTGAAGTGTTAACTCTGTTTCTGTCTCCACAGTTGCTGCTTGACCCGCTGAGCACTTCTGGAATTTTCTGTTTTTATTTCAGACTTCCAGTATCTGCAGTATTTGGAAAGTTAGGTCAGAGCATTTTCTAAAGGGAGGGCAGTAAGGAATTGTGGAGGAACAGGAGATTTAGCAATCCCAGTGCAGATATGATTTAAAGCTAAACTCAATGTTAAAAAAAATGCAGTGGCTACTGGAACTTCTTCTTAAGGTGGCTGGGGTCCAAAGATTTTGGAAGTTACGCTCCAGTAGCATAGATCTCTGGTTAGGCTGTTGCTGGATTACTGCACTGTATATAGTGGGCATTGTACCTCAGGAAGGATATAGTGACCAGAGGGGAAGTGCAAAGTAGATTCACCAGAACCATTGAATAATGGAAGCCATTCACCCCATTGTGTCTGCACTGGTTCAGTTACCTACTGCTTATCTCTTGCCTTTTCCCCATATTCCTGCACGCCATTATGATCCAAATAACCATCCAATGCCCTCTTGAATGTCTCAATTGAACCTGCCTCTGGCACATTTCTGGGCAGTACCATAACTACTTGCTGAGTGGAAGCAGTTTTTTTCTTACGTCATCCTTGCTTCATTTGCCCATCCCTTTAATCCAACATAATATGAGGGATAGAGTTTAGTAGTAGATTACAAACATTGTGTAGCATTCTGCTGTTTTACCAATCTCAGCGCCTAGGTGAAAATCCCTGAATGTTAGAAGGAGTGGAATAGGTATGTGCATTGCTGGTTGAGTAACTTCCCGAGTCTGACTAGTCTATGCTTGGTGCTGACAGATTTATTTCCTTTCTATTTGCCGGCATTACCTTGCCTTTATTCTGTTCAGGCTCTGTTCGTTCTTCAGTGGTTGTATTTTGTGTTGGTGCTGTCATAACTTCCCTTTTCCTGTGTCCTGCAATGAAACATACAAGATTCTTAGGGGATTTGACAGGGTGGTTACAGAGAGGTCATTAGCCCTTAGTAAAAAAAGTGCAGGACCAGAAAGCATCATTAGAGAATATGGGGTCACCTCTTTAAGATAGACATGAGAAGGGTAGTGGGTAGTGAATCTGTGGAATTCTTCACCGCAGAGAACAGTTGAGGCTCGGTCATTAAGTATATTCAAGACCAAGAGATTTTTAAATCAGTAAGGGAATCAAGGGATAAGGGGATTTGAGGATTATCAGGTCATAACCTTGTTGAGAAGTAGAGCAGATTGGATAGGCTGAATGGCCTATTTCTGCTCCCGTGTCTTGTGGTCTTATGGATTGAAATAGCCCTGCCTCAGTCACCACTCTGGAAACTTGATCTCAAAGTCTTTGGTGCAATACCGAGGCAGGCCTGCACTGCTAGAGCTGCCGTACTGCGAGTGTGATGCTAAGCCTGGGCCCCTGTTTATTGTCTCAGCTGGACACAAAAAAATTCCACTGATTTAGAGAAGACAAGTGTCAGAGGGTGATCAGCAACTGGAAGATTGCCCTGAAGAATGATCAGCATCGGCAGCAAGTTAATGGTAGTACATAGAATCATACAGTATAGCACAGGCCCTTCAGCCCATCAAGTCTGTATGCCAAAAATATACTACTGACTACACTAGTCCCACTTTCCCACACTAGAGCCATAGCCTTGGATGTTCAAACACTTCATGTGCTCATTCCAAGTGCCATTTAAAACTTGGAAGGTTTCCTGCCTCAACTACACCCCCTCTACTCCACCCCAGGCAGTACATTGGGTGATAAAGGTTTTCCTCAAACCTCTTGTCTTTCACTCTAAAATCATACCTCCCTGTAAGATTATACCGTTCTGCTAACGGGAGCAGATTGATGTACCGGAAAGCTACGATGAAGTAGGCTATTGGGCCTTTTAGCCCTAACCCGCCCTGCAGCCTTTGTGCTTTCTAGTTTCTCCCGATTCACAGCAGTCATGTCTTGGTTAAGGTCACAAGATCGGCTCAACTCCAGGAAACATTCACGATCGCACAGTTCACATCCACATTGAGCAATGTGTTCAGCGACTGAGCCTGGTGTCTATGCTAGAATCCACTGCGAGCCAGAGGTTTCAAACCACCACTGCTGGCAGTAATTACATGGCTGGTCTCGAGTGTCACTGCCAGCGTCCCATCAGGCACACGTGTGAGTGAAAAAGACACCGCTTGCTGCCAACGATTACTCACGGTCATTCTTCTCGGGTATCAGCAGCAGTTTGCTTTTCAGCTCTCGGTGCCCAGGAGGGAGGGTGGGAGCGGTGGAGGGAGACAGCTTGCACTCCAGCTTGGAACGTGTCAGTCTGAAATCGGAGCTGTTTTATTGTGGCAGTATGAGACAGCGGGTCCCACTGATGGAGCTCAGGCCTGGTTGAGAACAAGCCTGCTCTGTTGTTTGTATCCCGCACTGCGTCTTTGCCACTGCCTGTAGCCTGGCTGTGGTTGAGCTGGCTGAGGTCAAAAGGTTAATCAAAGGAAATGGCCTCCATTACAGGGAGGGATAGTCCCATTGGAGGTGTTACCGCTTAGCAGAAAAGTGCAGGAGCAGAGGGCAATATCAGGGAATATGGGGTCACCTATTTAAGATAGACACGAAGAGGAATATGGGTAGTGAATATGTGGAATTTTTTACCGCAGAGAATGGTTGAGGCTGGGTCATTAAGTATATTCAGGACTGAGAGATTTTTTAAATCAGTGAGGGAATCAAAGGATAAGGGGATTTGAGGATTACCAG